AGAATTTTACCAAACATTCAAAGAAGATTTAATACCCATCCTTCTCAAACTATTCCAAAAATTAGAGGAAGATGGAATACTTCCCACCACATACTAGAAGGCCAACATCACCCTCATACCAAAGCCAGACAAAGACAATACTAAGAAGGAAGACTACAGACCAATATCTCTGAAGAACATAGATGCAAAAATCCTCAACAAAATATTGGCAAACCGAATACAGCAATACATTAAAAAGATCACACACCATGATCAAGTGGGATTTATACCAGGGACACAGGGATGGTTCAACATCCAAAAATCAATCAATGTGATATACCATATTAACAGAATGAGGAATAAAAACCACATGATCATCTCAGTAGATGCAGAGGAGGCATTTGACAAGATCCACCATCCATTTATGATAAAAACTCTCAACAAAATGGGTATAGAAGGAAAGTACCTCAAGAGAATAAAGACCATATATGACAAACCCACAGCCAACATCATACTCAATGGCGAAAAACTGAAAGCCATCCCTCTGAGAACAGGAACAAGACGAGGGTGCCCACTCTCACCACTCCTATTTAACATAGTACTGGAGATTTTGGCCAGAGCAATTAGGCAAGAAAAGGAATAAAAGGAAGAAGAAGTGACACTCTCGCTGTTTGCAGATGACATGACCTTATATATAGAAAACCCTAAAGAATCCATCAGAAAACTATTACAAATAATCAACAACTACAGCAAAGTTGCAGGGTACAAAATCAACTTACAAAAATCAGTTGCACTTCTATGCTCTAATAATGAACTAACAGAAAGAGAATTCAAGAAGACAATCCCATTTACAATTGCAACAAAAAGAATAAAATATCTGGGAATAAATTTAGCCAAGGAGGTGAAAGACCTATACAATGAAAACTATGAGACATTATTGAAAGAAATCCATGATGACATAAAGAAATGGAAAGATGGGGCCGGCCCCATGGCATAGCGGTTAAGTGCGCGTGCTCCGCTGCTGGTGGCCTGGGTTCAGATCCCGGGTGCGCACGATGCACTGCTTGTCAGGCCATGCTGTGGCGGCGTCCCATATAAAGTGGAGGAAGATAGGTACAAATGTTAGCCCAGGGCCAGTCTTCCTCAGCAAAAAAGAGGATTGGCATGGATGTTAGCTCAGGGCTGATAGTCCTCACCAAAAAAAAAAAGGAAATGGAAAGATATCCCATGCACATAGATTGGAAGAATAAACATAATTAAAATGTCCATGCTACCTAAAGCAATCTACAGATTCAATGCAATCCCAATCAGAATCCCAATGACATTCTTCACGGAAATAGAACAAAGAATACTAAAATTCATATGGGGCAACAAAAGACCCCAGATAGCTAAAGCAATCCTGAGAAAAAAGAATAAAGCTGGAGGCATTATGACCCCTGACTTCAAAATATACCATAAAGCTATAATAATTAAAACAGCATGGTACTGGTACAAAAACAGACACACAGATCAGTGGAACAGCATTAGAAGCCCAGAAATAAAACCACACATCTACGGACAGCTAATCTTCGACAAAGGAGCCAAGAACATACAATGGAGAAAGGAAAGTCTCTTCAATAAACGGTGCTGGGAAAACTGGACAGCCACTTGCAAAAGAATGAAAGTAGACTATTTTCTTTCACCATACACAAAAATTAACTCAAAATGGATCAAAGACTTGAAGG